GAGAGAAAACAAACCTTGAAGTTGAGTGAGTCTCACTTTGCTTAGTGTAGCTTTCATCATATGAATGCTCCTTTTCACTATTAACATCCGAATAATTCTGCTCCACCTTTTTGGAAATTCTCATGGGTGAACTCTTCTCAGATACAGAATTTACTTCAACAGCCTCTGTGACATCAAGCAGATGTTGAATTACTTCACACTCACCCACATCCAAATTGGCTTGTGAACGTTGTAGTTCTAACTGAAGCTTTTCATTTTCTTTTTGAAGTGCCTCATTAAAAGGCAAGTTTGGGTAGGAACAAGAAAGAGTTTTCTTCAACCACATAGTGTCATTTTTTGAAGGGTCTGGTTTAAGAATTACGTCTTGAACCTTCTTGTCCTCATCGTCCAATGCATATTCACGTTAGTCCCTTTCAATATCCTCCAGTCTTTCCTGCCAATTTGAGGGAAGTGAAAATCAATTTACATTAACAAATTAACCGTATCATAAAGAAAACTGCACATAATAGTAAAAATGATATCCTGTTAACAATATCCAAGGGATCCATTCCAAATATTTTGGCCACCATGTCAAGCAAAGTTCACTATATGTAAAAATATAGAAATATAATCCACAACTGCATCAACAAAATCAGAAATCATCTTTTTCAGTCATAGCCCCAACCAAACAAATATTAGAATCTACAAATTGCACTTCACAAGAAATGCCACTGCATGATGTATAGAAAAAATATGGTGGTCATTGTAGAAGGAGAAATAGAGGGAAAAAAATATAGTAAAAAAAAAGGCTAGCATGAACATATATCATGACTGGCTAGTCATATATCACCGCAAGGTTAAAGGACAATAAACTACTTATTCTTACCAACACTATATATAGAGAGGGTGCATCCAATGGCAAAGAGATAGTATAACAGTTCTTAATAGCTTACCTCCTCTCACCGAAAGTGTGCATTGCATACTAGCAAAACAAATCATAGCTACTAAGAAAAAAAATGTCCGGTATGAGCATGTTCACAATATGTAAACAGTGTACAAAATACAAAGAGGGGAACAAGGCAAAATTATTTATATTTTGGAGGGGCCAAAGTAAAATTACATAGATTTTGAAGGGGACAAAATATCAACTTCATTAATAAACACTCAAAATACAATGGGGATAAAATGGGTATTATGTTACAAAATATGTTATAGGATTTGTGTCCACCAATGGGTATTATGTTATAAACTAAGGTAACAGATTTGTGTTCACATTAGCCAAAAGCATTTTGTTGACATTATGTTATAAAATATGTTACAGGATTTGTGTTCACCTTATGACGTTTTTCTTTTTTCAATTTTTTCTTTTTCTATTTGGGCAATAACAGGAGGAAGTTACTGACTTAAGAGTAATCCATTACCAGGTAATATCATCTGCAAGAGAGAGAGAGATAGAGAGAGAGAGAGAGTTGTGAAACATTTCATTACAAAATGAAAATTTTGTACTACTAAATTTTCAACTTGGTTTCAATTTCAATTAAGAAAATTTGGCCACTATCAACAAGCTAGCGTTCCAACAGGAATCAAGCAGCAAAATACACAATTTTAACAAGCTTCATGTGCTTATACTTAATTAGCAGGAAAGTCCTATAAAACAATTTAAAAAAATAGTCCTTTATGCAGTTCCAGTAAGGTAACAAAAACCAATGTTCCATGAAAAATAATTCTAAGGCAGCTGATCGAGGTGGGTAGTAAAAAACAATTCTTGATTGGAAATGAATATAGAATTTTTTTAACAAAGTTCACGTCCACCAATAAAAAATCATCAAATAAAGTTACACTAAAAGAACCCAGCCAAAATACACTAGCAAACAGAGAGGGGAAAAATAAATAAATAAACCCAAAAAATATGAAAATTATTTGCCAAACTTAATTAACCAAAAAAAAAAGGACAAGGAACAAAAATAATAACAAAGATTTATATAATACCCTAACTCGAGCATTATCAGCAAGAGTTATGAGGGGGACGAAAAAAGAAGGCAGCCAACTTCGTTTCCAACACCATGTAAAAGTTACCCTTACTTACCCCACAATGCAGTTGTTGTAGAACATTACTATTCTCAAAAATAGCTGGCTTAAGAAGATTATTGGGCTTCACACAGCGAATATAACGAGGCTCAGTCGAACTCAAGAGTTTCAAGCAATTGTTGCAATTGTTGCTGCAAAAAGTACAACAGGAATTTCGTAAGTCAAGCTATTGTACAAAAGAAGTAGATAATTTAAGAGAGAGAGAGAGCGAGAGAGAACATCAGACCTTGAACCGTGAACCTATTGAAGAGAACTTTGATTGTTAGAGGACTCCTCAGATGAAAGTGGAAACAAACCCGACACAAAGGAACATTTGGAAGCACTCAAGAGTGCTTGATGTTCGGCAATAACATAATCTTTGTTTTTGTCTAGAAAAAATTCAGTTTGATAGGTGACCTGAAAAATAAATTGAAGTGCTGGTCAATGTTTTTTGTTTCAAGAGTGTATATTCTGGAGTTGAATGAACTATTAAATAAATACATATAATAACACAAAGAATAGAAACTTACATCACCAGCATAATGGCAAACCAACAGATAAGCCTACTGCAGATGCAAGATGTGATGTCCCAAAGATAAAAATTTAAAACCAGGAATTAAAAGTCATGATGTGCTGTTGTGTTATCTGAAGAGAAGCTAGTTTCAAGAATAAAAATTCAAGTTGAGGTAAGAGTAATTAGATAAAGACAACTAGTTCAGTTTGCTTCCATGAATTTTATTTTCCTAAAGTTTCAATAAGCAATGCAACATCATACATAAGATTCAAAACTCAGATTTCTTTGGACTTCTGAAAGGATCTGAATTTGCCACCACGAAATCAGCAACCCTACCAAATTGTGAAGTCCAATCAAGTTTAGGTTTAGTAACCGAACATCAATAATTCCTAAGATAAAATATAACCTTTTCAAAAAAAAAAAAAAATCAAGATATTTAAATTGCATGGATGAATTTGTCTAGCATAAAAAGAAGGGGGGAAAAAAAAGATCAACTGCATGCTATACAACGCAATTGCAAGACCAATCACGCACTCTTTACAGCACTAGGAAGCAGGTTGAAGATGAGGTTTTTGAAACTGTTGTATCAAGCAAGAATATCCCCAAATTGATATCATTAATTCAAAAACAATTTCTTCATTTTAATATAACAACCAAATCGTAATTCTAATTGGGTTTCCACTTTCCACCATAATTTTTTTCCCTCTCACTAATTCAATTATTTTCATCTTCTTTTAATTATTTTTAGTTTTTCAGGGTAAAATTTCTCATATTTCCAATTCACCATCCAACCCCAATCAAGAGTAAAAACAATATTTACATGAATTTAACAACAAAACAGCCACAAAAAAAAAATTTAATAAATAAATTTGAATTAAAAGCTAACCTCAAGAAAAGTAATCGCTCTCTCTCCAATATCTGAACCTTAGCAAGCTCCCTCCGCTTCCCATACAAATCTGGATACTCCGGCGGCAATGGCAACGACGGCAGCACTGAAGAAGAAGAAGCAGCCATCACTCGCTCACAACTCATCAGTGAAAAACAAAGAAAAGACAACGAAAAGAAACAATCTCCGTGATGAAACAGAGCATATTTTTTTCCTAGTTTTCTCAGCAACCAAACAAAGAAAAGACAATGAAACAAAGCATATACAACTCATCAGTGAAAAACAATTGCTGAAACGGAGCACATACAGCTCATCAATCACTGAAACAGAGAGAGAGAGAGAGAGAGAGAGAGAGACGACAGAGCTCACCTTAGCAGACGATGGTGGAGACGATCTGAATCTCTGCGATGAAATCCCTCTGAATCTCTGCGATGAAATCTCTGAGATGATTCTATGAATCGCTCTGGTGAGGGTTTAGAGAGGGTTGAGAGAGAGAGAGAGAGAGGGAGAGAGACAATGGAGCTCACTTTCGTTGGTGCTCGCTACCTCGCTCTGAGAATGAACAAGCGGTGGAGCTTCAAAATCGCTCTGAGAGAGAGAGAGAGAGAGCGCTCGAAATTTGGGTCTTAGGTGAGTCTCAGATTCAAAATTAGGGTTTGAAAAGAGGGGAGACCAAGCGCGTGAGGTACAACACATTTGGAGGCGTTTCTTTATTATAAAACGGTGTCGTTTTGTTAAATAAATCTGTGATTTTCATAAAACGTCGTTAAATATTAAAAAAAAGTGGCGTTTAAAAATACGTCATTAAAAAAACGCCACCTAATTCCTTTTTTCCTGTAGTATATATTTGAATATACCAAAAAAAAAAAATACATTAAATTTTCTTATTATTTTGACCAAACTACACAATCAATTTAATGAGTGTTTGGTCGTATGATTTAAATTGTTTAAATTTTAAAACTATCTTTTTGCCCATCAAATAAAGCTTTAATTGGTACTTTTTCTATATACTTGTCTTCAATTGAATAACATGAATAGAAATCAGAAATTTTAGAGACAAAATTAATAATATAGAGGTGAAATAGAGGAAATGGTGATAGTTTAGGGAATAGAAGTGAAATTAACTTATTTTTATTTTTTTTAATGTTATTTTGAAGTTTTGGTTTTGCATAGTGTTTATTGAATCTAATTGAATTTGCAGGTGTTGAGCGGAGGCGAGTTTACGATATTGTCAACATATTAGAAAGTGTTGGTGTATGATCTTGTGCACTTCTTTCTCTCCTGATTCGGATTCCTTTTCTTATAGAGCTGAATTTTCTTAACACATCTGGGTTCGTTAATTTTCCAAGGTATTATCAAGAAAAACGAAGAATCAGTATTTTTGGAAAGGTTTTAGTGCAATCCCACGGGCTTTAGATGAGCTTAAGGTAGTCAAAATTTTGGGTTTTGTAGTTTTGTATCAGAAACCAATAAATTGGGAGTGAAAATTTCTGATTTTTTTAATTTTTATTATTTTGATTTGCATACTAGGAAAAAGCATTGAGAGAGAACTTCTGCACCTCAGGTGTCTTCCATTCTGCCAATGTATGTTAGCAAGGGTCTTATATAATATATTTTTTATTTATCCTTTGTTTGGCTGCCAAGAAAGCATGAGGAAATTGTACGAAAATCAAATGTTCTGAATGCTTTTATTTATGTTGTTTCCTTTTGGGATGATAAGAATTAGTATTGAATCACTCTCTCTATACATCTTCTTAGCAATCTAATGGTAAATATGAGCTTCTGTCAATAGGTTTCAAGTGTAAACCATTGTGGAGGGCCTTCAAATTCTAAAACTGATAGGAAAGACAAGCCTTCTGTATCAAATAAAGTTGGTAAATTCTCTTTCTCTTGTGTTCTTCGTTTGTTTCTATAAATTAGATTACTTTCTGCTTAGAAAATATCATTAATCTTATCTATGTCGTTTATTACTCAAATTTGAGGGATCATAGAGTAAACTAAGGTTATCATTTCCATTTACACAAGCATACTAGGATTTAGTTTTTGTTTGTACAGACAACAGGAAGGAGATATCTCTGGGTCTTCTTACGATGAATTTTGTCAAGCTTTTCATTTGTTCCCACCTAAGCTACATATATGTACATTATTTATCCATTAACAAACTAGTTTACTTTCTTGCATTTATTTTATCTGATTCAATTCTTTCTTTTAGGAGGATTTGATCTCTTTAGATAATGCAGCAACAGCATTGCTTGGTGACATCCACGATCCAACAACTATGAGAAGTAATTGAACTTTTGTCATCTTTATGCTTTGATATTTATAAATTATATATAGTGGAGATAGGAGAAACAATTTTGTTACTTTGGCTTTATCTATGTAAGATAATTCTGCAGCAAAAGTAAGACGCCTTTATGATATTGCAAATGTCTCATTGAAAAGGTAAATTACATTTCAAAATTTTATTGATTAGTAAGTGCAAATAAGTATAAGGGGAAAAAAAATCCTCAATCCTTTTCTCATTGGATCTATTTGATTTTCAGACTCAGCACCCAGAGAGCAGGAAACTGGCATTTAGATGGTTGGGGATAAATGGAAGTTCCAAGAATGGACCTACTTCTTTGAAATTTAACGATTCTAAAAGAAAAGTGTTTGGAGCTGAGATCACAAACACACTCTTTCTAAAAAATCTAAGTCCGAATCTTCAATTGATTGCAACTCAAACGAGAAAGCAGATATGCCAATGCTTATGAAACACAACAATTCGAAAGATAAACATGACAGGAGCTCATTGGAGCAGCAAGGAAGATATTCATCCAAGGGTTCTGTATTTGGCCCTTTCACTCCGGCCAGTGTGCCCAAAGTGGGAGATTCAGGAAACAAAAATGAAAGACGAGTTAACTTGGCTTCTTATCGTCCTCAGTATCACAACCAAGGTACCTTTTAATACTACATTATGAGTACCCCTTATAACTTTTCTGGGTCATACATACCTCGCATATAATGCAGTACTGTGCAGTACTGCAAATTGTTACGGCATGTCATGGGGATGATAAAGTATATTCAACTTTTCTATTTTGTTATGAAAATTACTTCAAGTAGTGAGTTGATCATTAACAATGTTGTTGGCTGTCAAATATTCAATGATCTTTACTTGGTGATCCACAACCTTAAAATTCAGGAAAAAGGTATATATGTTTGTGATGATCTTTTTGAAATCTGCATGCGTGTTCACCAATGAGGATTTGGAAGTTAATGTTTCAAATTATTTCTATGGTACAATGTTTTGGGGCTTGATATCCTTCTTCATATAATGTTTTTGGACCATGAATCATGTATATAAATTGCTGTGCTTTCATTTGGATTTACATCTCATGTCACAGTTAAATGATAGAAGATAGGTTTTGTTGGTGTGGCAGCTTTAAGTGACCTTTTTGCTCATTATGTTGCGGCATGGAAGTCATGGAATGTCGAAGTTGATGAGAAGAAACAAACGCAACAAGTATCTTGATCCCACTTATTCTAACTTCAGAGATAATCAAGTGCAAGTTCAACAGAGAATGCTATACTATGTTTCCCTTTCTTGACTAAGAGTTTTAAGCCTTATGTTTGATGCATTTTCTTGATGCACCAACCAGAATAGCCAGCACCCGTCTATTAACTCCTGACATTATAGCATTGACGGTTTTAGTTTCTCCAATTCACAGTTGTAAATTGCAGTTTCTTAGCTTGGATTTGATGAACATGCAAGGCCTTAATGACATGTTTATAGAAAAAACTTATTAACATTTCCAACACTTCTTGGCAACTTGTACTGTGTTGTTTAGATATTTGTTTTATGAATAATGTTATATATACTAATTAATGTACACACTAGTATATAACAAATGATGTGACATCATTTGTATGGTTTTGGATATTTGTAACTGTTGGAAAATGGTTTTATATAGGCATATTTTTTAGCCCAAGTTGAGTGGGCCTCAAACGTCTTTTGGGGTGGGTCCGAAGAGGTGACGTGTTCCTTGCCGCGTGGCAAGTCACACGGTGAAGACGGAACGTTAAAACCATTTATGAGCGAATGGGAAGTTGACGTCGTTTTCAGATCTAACTTTAATTTTTATTTAGATAAAATTCTTTTAAATTTTTTTAATAAAAATTATCATGGGAATTTAATTTAATTCTAAATTCAAATTTTGGGTTCCTAAGTGGTTTCCTAATTTATAATTATTTTAGATGGTCATCAATTTAATTCAAACTAATTAAATTATAACTTCAAGAATAAAGGATTGCATTGTGTTTCAAACCAATCATATAATAAAAAAATTTATTAATAAAACATATTAATTCACTTTTATTAAGTAATTTGAAAATAAAGAATAACTTAATTAATATGAGTTATGTTTTTTTATTAGAAGGAATAACAGCTTTTGCTTCAACCTCTCAGGGTTGCACTCGACACAACCTGAGATAAATTCCAAACGCGCTGAAATCATGTAAGGAAAAGAACACTTTAACCACGCTGAAATCATGAGAAGAGGTCTGAAAACAACCTCTTAGGGTCGCACCCGACGCAACCTGAGGTAAATTCCAAACACGCTGAAATCGTGTAAGGAAAAGAACACTCTAACCACGCTGAAATCGTGAGAAGAGGTCCGAAAACAACAATCAGGGGCGCACTCGACGCAACCTGAGACAAATTTCAAACACGCTGAAATCGTGTGAGGAAAAGAACACTCTAACCACGGTGAAATCGTGAGAAGAGGTCCGAAAACAACCTCTCAGGGTCACACTCGATGCAACCTGAGATAAATTCCAAACACGTTGAAATCGTGTGAGGAAAAGAACACTCTAAGCACGCTGAAATCGTGAGAAGAGGTTCGAAAGCAACAATCAGGGGCGCACTCGACACAACCTAAGATAAATTCCAAACACGTTGAAATCGTGTGAGGAAAGGAACACTCAAACCACGCTGAAATCGTGAGAGAGGTCCTATGAAAACCACTCAGGGGCGCATTCCACGCAACCTGAGATAAATTCCAAACACGCTGAAATCGTGAACACTTTAACCACACTGAAATTGTGAGAAGAGGTCCGAAAACAACAATTAGGGGCGCACTCAATGCAACCTGAGATAAATGCCAAACACGCTGAAATCGTGTGAGGAAAAGAACACTCTAACCACGCTGAAATCGTGGGAAGAGGTTCGAAGAAAAGTAATCAGGAGCGTGCTCTACGCGTCCTGAGAAAGCCCCGGGGGGCAACGATCCTAAACGCTGCTCAGCGTGAAAGAATAAATGATACAAGATAACACAAGATGCAAATAAATACAATAAGTGTGATAAGATGATACATGCTACAAGCAATGTAAAGCATGATGTTTAGGGAATGCAATAAACAAACAAAGCGGCGCTTTAAAAAAGCACCTCATGGGGCGAGTGGCGATGAATCGCTCTACTCTGACGGGGATCTCCCCTTGTGCTCTTCGAACTCTTACCTTCAAATCACAGTACAAAAGGTCCTGAAATACTGACAAGGAACGACATCTGCATGTAGAAGCCACAGATGCCGCTTTTCTTTCTGATCATATTCACTACTTTTCCTATTCTCCAACGGGGTGACAGACTAGGTTGGTTTAGCATCTAGAATTAAGGCGCACTCATGCTATCTCAATCTATGGGGCTATCATACAGATTTTAAGCTGAGGATACACCCCTGGGTATTTAAACCAGACTTTAGTCTCGGAAATCCCAAACCTTTTTGTGTTCTAGGCATCGCCATTCGAACTCTAGTTTCCACCGTCGCAGTTGGTCTCCTAGGAACTCATTGCAAACATAACCAAGATGCCTCTGGCAGGGAAACACTTCTGATCGCCATTCTGGCTTTGAAGCAGGCTTGAGCTTGAAGTAGAGGCACATTCACACTTCGGAGCATTGACAAGGCCTGGAGAGGTACATCCGGAGTGCAATCTCGAAACTTTCTAAAGTCGAAACACACTCAGATGCTCCAATTTTCCTCTCTTTTCTTTTGCTTTGCAGTTTGGAACCCATGTAGCTTCAGATAGGTCCTTGTTCTACTATTCTCACATGACCTGGGTTGAACCCTGCAGTTTTATGAAAAAACAAATCCTGTTTTGCACAAATGTGGAGAATGACATAGCACTCTGAGCACAAAATGATTTATTTTTGAAATTGAGAAATGAATTCTCGACCGAGTATTAAGCCTACGATTGACCACAGTCAAAACGACTCAACAAAGGAAACCAAAGGTAAAACAACCTAAACACATATATTGACACTTGAAATGACTCAAAACAAGAATCGAGACAAATAAAAACACACACACAACACTCAGATGTGTTCCAATGGCGAGAGACCTCTCAGTTCACAAGGAGCCTATTTATCCGGGTATTGTTTCCCACCCTTTCTTATTTGTGATTCTCACATCACTCTATCACTCAATCTCTAGTTTTCTGAAAATGTCCTTTTTTCACTTTTTCTCTCAGCGCACATCTCTTTATTCTTTAATCTCTCTTATTTTTTTATCCCTCTCCTGGGTGGTTGATGGATAAGCAGGAAGTTGTGGGCTCTTGTCCCTAGTATTCTACTAGATTTTTCTTCTTTCGCTCACAACTAGTGAGTTTCTCCCACAGAGGGGTTGTGATGCGGTTGGATGTGCAGCAGATCTGTAACTGACATCGGTTGATGATGCCTTTGGCTTAGCTTGATCGAGATGAATTACCATACGTCTCATCGGCCAAGTATACAATTGATTGGCCTCACACATTGCGTTTTCTACGTCCCTATTCCGGGTCAAACACGAATTTGAGCGCGATCATCCCAGATGAGGGAAACGAATATTCAGCTCCATTTTCAATTCGTGCTTCGCACTTGGCTTGATACCTCGCTGCTTGGAGGATGAGAGAGCTTTCGGCCCTTTGCTGTTAGCTGCAGTTGTACCGTTTTCTGGCAAGTATGTTGACAATGGGAAAAGACAAAAAATCTAACTCACCTGTGCCCCTTAGTTCATCATTTTGACCATTTTTTGTTTTGGCTTTCCACTAAAACAATTTTTGACCAACAAGAGAGTTAGATTAACACACTTGTTCAATTTTCTGATTTGAAATCATGCAAGTCAGGTTATGAGCACTAAAAATTTTCCTTTCTTGGGTCCAAGAAATGGTCTAGTTTTGGAAAAATGGAATAATTTTCGAGAGAATTAGTGAATCTCATTAAAAATTCTTAAAAACTATTTTTGCAAATGGCCACTGCTCGACCGACATAGAATTTACTCTTGAGATGCACAACTTCAGATCTGAACTTGAATTGTCTTGCAGCTGAATCTTTCTAACGGAATAGGACAGTTCGATTTTGAATGAAGCTGAGCCAATTTGTACATGGATAGGATAGCCGAGTTGAACAAGGATAAACCAATCAACATGGATGAGCCAAGCAGGCTGAACTATTATTGAGTCAAGGAATGCATCATTCTTTGAACATGTATTTCCAAATAAGACTGGACAAGAGACTAGTAGTAATAAAAGATGTCATAATGTTATTATTAGGCAGGATCAAGAATATGATCAAGAACAAGAGTTAGACCAAAATGAGGAAGAAGAACCTAGGCGTAGTAAACGTGCTAGAATCTCAAAATCTTTTGGTCCAGATTTTCTAACATATTTGTTAGAAAATGAGCCTTTAACTTTTAAGGAGGCTATGTCCAGTCCTGAAGCTCCTTTATGGAAAGAAGCTGTCAACAGTGAAGTTGAATCCATCTTGCAAAATCACACTTGGGAATTGGTGGATTTGCCACCAGGTTGTAAACCTCTTGGGTACAAGTGGATTTTCAAAAGAAAATTGAAAGCGGATGGATCAATAGACAAATACAAGGCAAGACTTATAGTCAAAGGTTTTAAACAGAAAGAAAGTCTAGATTACTTTGACACATACTCACCGGTTACTAGAATAGCATCCATTAGCATGCTAATTGTCATTGCATCTCTATACAATCTAGAAATTCATCAAATGGATGTTAAAACCGCTTTCTTAAATGGTGAGTTAAATGAAGAAATTTACATGAAACAACCAGAAGGGTTTTTTGTTCCAGGGAAAGAAAAGAAAGTGTGTAAATTGGTTAAATCATTATATGGTTTAAAACAAGCGCCAAAGCAATAGCATGAGAAATTTGACAAGACAATGATGTCAAATGGATTTAAAATTAATGAGCGTGACAAATGTTTTTATATTAAAAACACGGACAAAGGTTATGCCATTGTATGTCTTTATGTAGATGATATGCTCATTATAGGTAGTAATAACGACATGATTAAAACTAGCAAGAAAATGTTGAATAAACATTTTGACATGAAGGACATGGGCATTACTGATGTAATACTTGGTATGAAAATTACCAAAACATCAGAAGGATATACTTTGTCACAATCTCATTACATTTAAAAAATACTTGACAAATTCAGCAAAGATGATGATCATCTTGCTAGAACTCCTGTAGATGTTAATTTGTACCTTTCTAAGAATGTACAGGAAAGTATTTCTCAATTAGAGTATGCCCAAATTATTGGAAGCTTAATGTACTTGATGAACTGCACTCGCCCAGATATAGCTTATGCAGTAAGTAAATTAAGTAGATATACGAGTAATCCGGGAGTAGAACACTGGAAAGCAATTATAAGGGTTTTAAGGTATCTCCGATTTACTCGTAATATTGGGCTTAATTATACTAGATATCCAGCAGTACTTGAAGGATACTGTGATGCAAATTGGATATCAAATACTAGAGACTCAAAGTCCACTAGTGGGTATGTCTTTACTCTTGGTGGGGCGACTGTATCTTGGAAATCTTCCAAACAGACTTGTATTGCTAGGTCTACTATGGAATCTGAATTCATAGCTTTAGACAAAGTAGGGGAAGAGGCAGAATGGCTTCGCCACTTCCTTGAAGATATTCCAATATGGCCAAAACTGGTGCCTGCTATATGCATACATTGTGATAGTCAATCAGTAATTGATAAAGCACAGAGTCATATGTACAATGGTAAGTCTCGACACATTCGTCGTCGACATAATATCGTAAGACAACTACTCTCTAATGGAATTATGTCCATATAATATGTTAAGTCTAAAGACAACATAGCGGATCCACTAACCAAAAGGTTAGCAAGAGAGTTAGTTGAGAAATCATCGAGGGGAATGGGACTTAAGCCTATTAAATAAGAGTTACCACAACGGCAACCCAACCTAGTTGACTGGAGATCCCAAGATCTAGGTTCAAAGGGACAACCGAGTTGTGAATGACTCAGAAGGATCACTGGGGAGTTTATCTCCTACCCATTTCTTTGATGAAATAGTGATGTCTGCAGCGGTTTAGGTTAAGTAATACTTTTAATGATTCTTATATCTAGGTAAACCTAGTGGAGTATGGCAGGATACTTTTCATAAGAATCACCTATGTAAGTGTGAACTGGGCCGGTTCTATAAGATTTGTGAAGGGCTACAAGTCTTTAGAGCACTCATGAAAGATTAGGTTGTTCAGGGCCAAAATGAACACAATAGTGAGAACTAAACTATGTCTGGAGATATACTGTGTGAGTTGTATTGTCTTGGTTTACACAAACGGCTGAACAGTTTAAGACATCATGTTCACTGGTTAGCTAGTAAATCCAATAGTATCTCACAAGGGAAGGTTCAAAGCCAAAAGCTACCTATCCTTTGCAGAATATTTCCAATTTCTGTACTCTCTATATTTAGATCATGTTGTTGCATTTTCTCTCCGTCAAATTCCATTCATGTGGGGGATTGTTGGAAAAATGGTTTAATATAGGCATATTTTTTAGCCCATTTTGAGTGGGCCCCAAACGTCTTTTGGGGTGGGTCCGAACAGGTGACGTGTTCCTTGCCGCGTGACAAGTCACACGGTGAAGACGGAACGTCAAAACCATTTATGAGTGAATGGGAAGTTGACGTCGTTTTCGAGTCTAACATTAATTTTTTTCGTGACAGTATCTGAGTACATCAGTGTAGTTCCATGTTGAGGCTGGAAATATACTCTCTTCATTGCTACCATCAATTGGCGTTATCATTTCTGTACAAGCCTGCAATAATTTTTTCAACCACTTAATACTTATCCAAATATCTTCTCTAGTATTTGTTAGGGAAAATCTATCATTCTCTACAAGTAAATCAATCAATGAGAATAAAAAGTAATGTAGAAAAATTAAATCAAAAACAATACAAGAATTTTTACGTAATTCTCTCAATGTAAGGTACGTCTATGGGATCGAAATCCGATTCCACTATCAACTAAAAAGTTTCTAAACGATTACAAACAAGACACGAATGGTCTCACAAAACCACCCTTAGATGAATTTCAAATAATCACAAATAAATAAGAGGAACGACCTCACCAAATAGATGAACAAAAATTTTCGAATTGAAGAAGACCCAGAAAAAACGAACCAAATCAAGCCACACGCTGCCGAAATTAACCCAGCGCGTACAAACACAATCAAATTCTACCTGTTCGGGTCCTATTGTTTGCCTATAAATACTATTTGTTTTTCAGCAGTCCATGGGGTCGGAAAAACAGTCTGAGATTTAGTCTGCATTATTTATTGCTGTCCAACTTTTATTTAGGAGATTTTCCTTCATTCTAGTTTTAGGAAATTACAGAGAGAGTATAGAACACAGGTTCTAGTTCGTCGAACAAATTTATTTGAAGTGCTTCTATAAATTTGTAAAGATCATTGTATCCTGTGAGATAGACGCCACTCAACCGTAAGTACCTTAGCGGGGCGAATCTGTCTTAAGGATAGAATGTCACACACTCGACTTGGTCTTAATTTTATTTGGGTTCGATAAATAAACCTGGTATGTTATTTATTTGTTTTGTTTGAATTTATTTCAAGTTTTTTATTTACACAGAAGATTGTTCCAATAGTAACTTGCATAATAGATGTGATCAATAATAATATCATAACACTAGTTGGTATACTAGCATGTATATTAATTGGTGTATGTAGCATCACCGTTGTTTTATTATTATGAACTTAAAAATGCTAATTGTAATACTATAGACCTTGAACTAAACTTAGTAAACTCAAAATAAATTTGATTAAGATCTGTTTTCTCAAAACGATTTGCCGAATTTGGACTCTTTGGTTCAGACTTAGAACCGTGACTACAAATCGAGTCCGAGCTGTAGCGAGGCCCCCCGCGGGCTTGTTACAAATATATATAATTATATATAATAGATATGAATATGCATATTATTTTATTACTATTTAATCGAAAATTTCAATTTATATGGACCATTTAAATTGTTAATTGAATAATACACATATGATTCTTAAACTATAAGCTTCATGTCACATTGGTACCTAGAAGTTCAAATTTTGCCACTTTAATCCTTAAACATGAAGATGAATATAACATTTCAGTGTCGTTGAGGAATGAAATTAATAAAATTAAAAAATTAAGGATTAAATTAACACAAAATGCATAGAATTATAGATGCATTTTATAATTATTTTAGATGGTCATCAATTTAATTCAAACTAATTAAATTATAACTTCAAGAATAAAGGATTGCATTGTGTTTCAAACCAATCATATAATAAAAAAATTTATTGATAAAACATATTAATTCACTTTTATTAAGTAATTTGAAAATAAAGAATAACTTAATTAATATGAGTTATGTTTTTTTATTAAAAGGAATAACAGCTTTTGCTTCAATGGTGAATCTGTTATTTGGATAAAGGCATATTTTAAGATGGTTAAAAATCATTTTCTAGTTTTTAACTCATTTTAAGTCACATTATCTTTCACATTTTTTTTAAAAAAATAAATCAAAAAATTAACTTTTAATCAACTTTCCAAAATAATTCAAAGAATGTCGCATTTTATATGACTAGGCAAATTATTCATTTAAAAAAAAATTATTACCCCAAAATTCTTTCTATTAATGAATATCAATGCCTACATTTTGACTACCTCAATTTCAAAAATGGTACAAATATCCCCATTTTGAAAGTAGCATGGCGAAAGTGAAAGTGATATACATTTTTATAGTTGAAGAGTCAATATGTAAGAGATAAAGGATTAAAGTGATATTTATTAATAATTGATGGGTATTAGTGTAATTAGCTTAAAAAACAAATTGTTAAAAAAAAAACCCTAATCTCTCACAATCACAAACTACAACCAGCGCCGATCCGTCTCCGTCTCCGGCAACTCTCAGGTTACATCCTTCTCTGTCTCTGTCTCTGTCTCTGTCTCTGTCTGTCTGTCTGTCTGTCTCTCTCTCTCTCTCTTGGCTATTTTTGTTTTGCCTAAACAAACCAAACCCTAATCCTAATTTGTTTTGTGCGCAGCTCTCATCTTCTTTCTCGTTCTTGTTCTTGTTCTTCCATCTTTGTCTGTCTGTCTGTCTGTCTCTCTCTCTCCCCAATCGACCAGAACCAGCGCCGATCTGTCTGTGTCTCTGTCTCCGGCAACTCTTAGGTAAGCCTCTCCCAGTCATCTAATACATTATTATCTGCGCCATTCCAAGCATTTTCCTTATCATCGTTAAATCCATTGTCATCTTATACATTATTCATTTGCGATAATTTGAATTTTTATTAGTTCATTATATCACTTAGCTTAGAAGATGAAAACGCATCCAACTAATACAAATCAATTTTGTTACCTCATTATGACTGTGAAATGGCTATTTGAAATGGTGATAGCAGTGGATCCCTCAATGGCATCAATGAGGCCTTCCACACAGTTAGACATAGAGACATGATCAATCCAAACATTGGAAGATCCATAGATTGAAATGCCATCCCCATCACTCCTCGTCCTAAAGCCAATATGGTCAACGGCATCTGTGACATTGCCACCATTGGCAGAAACAATATTTCGTATATGAAGATTATGAATGATCACATTCTTTATAAACTGGATGGTGATACCAGCCCCACCAATAATGTTTACATGAGCCCCACGGCCATCAATAGTCTTATCACCCTGCATGATCAACTCCTTAGTTAGCCTAATATTCATGTTGCGTGCGAATATGATCCACAATGGCTCCTTTTGGAGCACAGCATGGCGGAGGCTTCCGGGTTTTGGTCTACTAGAATCGTCTGAATTATTTGTCACAACATAAAATTTTCCAGCCTTGCCACCGGTTGTCTTGTAACCAAAGCCAAAGACGCAATCTGCTAGTCTCTTTCGGTTAAGATGCCAATTTGGTTGGCATCTCCAACACCTATCAATTGGGTTGGTAGCCAAGCATGGACCACCATATCGTTTTCCCTTTAGGTACCTTCTAGTGCTGTTGCTTGTCAAATGGATGTCGCTTGACATAGTGGCATTGCTTGTCAATTTGATGCTCTTTAAAGTCCTGCACAAATTATATATATGCATAAATATCAACTATCTATATATTGATTATAATATGTCAATGATAAATATTAGCCTTGATGTCAAAATAAAACACCTACCTGTGAACTTCTTTGTTTAAGCTATCAGTGACTATTGAAGGATCGGATTCATAGGAATTAAGGGCGGTCTCTTTTGCTTCCTCTGTTCGCCTTTGCCACACCTCATCGAATTGGCCAATGTTGGCCATTAGGGTCGGAAGCAAAGTAGCATGGTCGAAAAATACGATAAAGTACCAATTGAGAATAGTGGTCCCCATTTTGGTGTGTATGTATCTATGTATCAAGAACTAATTAACAGGAAATTGTGATAGTATAGGGTCGAGCCTTTGGTGCTATCTGTAGAGAATAGGTCAGACCAACATTTTCTTTCTCTAATGACCGCCACTACATTTTCCATAAGACCCTTGACAACTATGATTCCTACCCCATTCCTGCGTCTATCCTTACCACTATAATACAGTTTAAAACCGGTATCCTCAATTTTCCTAATTTTTTCACTCGTCCACTTAGTTTCTTGTACGCATGCTATGCTAACTTTCCTCCTAATCATAACATCTACCAATTCTATCGTCTTAACGTTCCTATATTCCAAGTAGCTACCCTAGACTAATAGTCTTGAACTAGCTTCTTTACCCGCGCTCGTTCAGAAAAATGCAAGAACCTTTGCCCATTTTCCACCTCACCCAGGCGTCGATGCGGCGCCCCTTACTCACTTTTTGAAACACCCGGAGACGGGCGCAACGCGCCACTTGAGGGGAACGACCTAGATTCAATAATCACATGATCACATAGCGTAGATTCAACACAACCTTCAAACCAGTTAGGTCTTCCAACTTCTGGCATTAAAGTAGTTGATTAATACTGGAATATAAGCTTAGGAGGTGAATGCAAAAGCTAGTTACATGCCTTCAGAAGGATGTGTTTTTTTAAGAGACTGGTGTTTGTCAGACAAGGGATTAATTGTTTACCGAGTGATTTCTTCTGTGGGAACCAATAACTGGTTGAATCATGTTGATTCTCAACATGCAATATAAGATTCTTACATGTCCAAATTCCATATTTCTATATTGTTAGGATTTGTTTTTTTATTTATTGAAAAATAATTTTCTTGCATTGTAAGAGTGTATTTTACTTATTATTTAGAGTTGCTTGTGTTTTGAAGAATGATTTCACCAAATTACTGTTGTGTTTCAACAATTAGTGGCCATTTGTTTAATGATCTAATTTGACTCTGATCACAAATTGTAGCTTGGAAGGTACTATATAAACGGCAAACTAGTAAGTAAAGGAAGGTTGTAAGCGGAATCACTGTGATAAAAAATCAAGGAAAGATGCCAGCCCAGAAGATTGACACAGGTCACAATGACACAGTTCATGATGTATCCATGGATTACTTTGGAAAGCGTGTAGCAACCGGTTCATCCGATACCACTATCAAAATAATTGGTGTAAGCAACAACTCTACTTCACAGCACCTTGCAACACTGACTGGACATCAAGGCCCAGTTTGGCAGGTTGCTTGGGCTCATCCCAAATTTGGATCAATCCTCGCTTCCTGTTCTTATGATGGTAGAGTAATAATTTGGAAGGAAGGTAATCGAAATGAGTGGACACAGGCTCATGTTTTCACCGACCATAAATCATCTGTCAATTCAATTGCTTGGGCACCGCATGAACTTGGCCTCTGCTTAGCTTGTGGATCTTCTGATGGGAATATCTCAGTCTTCACTGCCAGATCTGATGGTGGTTGGGATACCACCAGGATAGACCAAGCCCACCCTCTTGGAGTGACCTCAGTTTCATGGGCCCCTTCTATGGCTCCTGGTGCTCTAGTTGGATGTGGCATACTCGATCCTGTTCAGAAGCTGGCTTCTGGTGGCTGTGATAATACTGTAAAGGTGTGGAAGCTATATAATGGAAATTGGAAGATGGACTGCTTCCCTGCGTTGCAGATGCACGCTGATTGGGTGAGGGATGTGGCTTGGGCACCCAACTTGGGCCTTCCAAAGGCTACTATTGCAAGTTCTTCGCAGGATGGTACAGTTGTCATATGGACTGTGGCAAAAGAAGGCAATGAATGGGAAGGTAAAGTTTTGAAGGACTTTACGACCCCTGTTTGGAGGGTCTCGTGGTCCTTGACAGGAAACTTGTTGGCTGTGGCTGCTGGGGACAACAACGTCACGTTGTGGAAAGAAGCAGTTGACGGGGAGTGGCAACAGGTGACCACAGTCGATTAATACTACTTGTAGATTTCAGTTTTGTTTTTGTTTCTATTGTTGTTCCTGTCTTTTGGCAGTGTCAAGAACTAGTTTGCTATTTTTCTCAGCACAATTTTCATTCTGCTTTTGCTTTCAGATACTTGTGTTTGTATGGGTTAATGTGATGATTGATTTATTAAATTTAGAAATGAGATTTCACTATTTCTCTTGTGGTTACTTTGAGGCATCTTGAATTTCAGGTTGTTTGCTTGAATTGAAAAAAAAGTTGTTTATGTTGTTTTGGCGGTGGTGAAGCAAAATGAAGTGGCTATAAAGCTTTCTATGGTTTCTCTACCAGTGATGGAGCTGCCAAAAATATTGTTTCAAATCAAACAGCAACCTCTTGGATTTCTTCATCCTTTTTTTGAGGGGTTTAAATTTACCCATAAAAGTAACATTTTGATGCTTTTTTTGTTGGGTAGCCTGAACCCACTTGGAGTCTAATTCTATTTTTATTTGAAATTCAATTTTCTATTCAAATCAATTTTTTGCAAATGCTTGTTTAGCAAAAGAGTTTGTGATCAAAATATAAGCTAAAAAATTAACATTTCAAGACTTGGATGGATAGTGTGAATCCTCTTAGGGGAATTAACAAATCTTAATTTAAGTTTAATTACAATATATTTTTTTTTAATGTGGACATACTTTCAAATTTAATTAGCAAATCAACTCAATTTTTTTTTTTTTTTCGCTTTGTTTTTCAAACGGCATTCCCTAAAATTACCTCGTACATAACTCCCTTGTTCAATCTGAAAACATATTTGATCTCATTGTAAGAGAGAAATGTTTATTTGGTATTGATTTCGTTTTTTGTATTTTTAGAAACAAAATAAAAGTTCAAATCTTCATTACTCCTTACTTTTATGTGAAACAATTTTCCCAATTTAAAAACAACTTGTCTTTAGATTTTTTTTTTCTTCAAATTAATTTTTGAAACAACATTCACCGGTTTTCATTTTCAGAAAATTCTACTTTTTCATTTTTCATATTTTTTTTATTTTTACTCATTTTTTTTAATATTTCCATCAATTTTTGTAATTTTTAGACACACTTAACATAAATACACTTAAAAAGTATAATATTTATAAAAAAAATAGGAGATTTTTTTTTATGATCCCTGGTACTAAGATTTTATAGTATAAAGGACACTCAATATTTTCATAATGTCTAAAGTCTCTTAACATCAATCCAGAGAAAATTCGACCAAAAAAAAATTTGTTCCAAAGAAATTCTGAAAATTTCTCTGGACTTCACTCTTCAGAGAAATTCTAAACTTTCCAATGAAATTTCTAACTTAAGCCTTTATCTTTGTCCAGAGAAATTCCTAAAGTCTTCATCATCTTCTTTGTCTAGAGAAATTCTGAGAAGTCTAGAGAAATTATAGACTTCCCAAAGAAATTCCTAAAGCCTTCATCATCTTCTTTGTTTAGAGAAATTCTGAGAAGTCCAGAAAAATTATGGACTTCCCAAAGAAATTCCTAAAGCCTTCATCATCTTCTTTGTCTAGAGAAATTCTGAGAAGTCTAGAGAAATTATAGACTTCCCAAAGAAATTCCTAAAGCCTTCATCATCTTCTTTGTCTAGAGAAATTCTGAGAAGTCCAGAAAAATTATGGACTTCCCAAAGAAATTCCTAAAACCTTCATCATCTTCTTTGTTCAGAGAAATTCCTAAAGCATTCATTATCATCTTCTTTGTTCATCATCTTCTTCCTCCAGAAAAATTCTGGAAATATAGAGAAATTCCAAAACAAAATCACTTCCCAAAATATGCCTTGGAATAAACAATTCACAAAAGAGTAAAGAAGAACAATCTGACAAGAAAACAAATTTAGCAAAAGTTCAAACATAAACAAGCTTAATTTAGATTCAATATGACCAAATCTAGGAGAAAAATTTCACAGAAACAAAACAGAGTAAGAACCAATTCCCATTCAGTTACATAAATTACAGTGAATATGAGCTAAACACAAGTTGTAGAAAAATACACAATTCGCAGACGAAGAAATTAAAAACCAAGTTAAATTATGAGAGAGACACCCCTACACTTGGCTCAACCTGCATTTTTGTTTCTTCCTTCCCACTACCAACCCCTTGGTGAAGCTGCAATAGCTCTTTGACTCTGATTATTCTTTGCTTTCCCATTAACCTTTGCACTATCAACACCTACAGAATTAGCTCCACCAAACCATATCTTTTTCAACAATTCATATGTTTTTTTGCTTATGAGCCTTCAAAAAAGTCCGATTCTCGCCCATTTTACTTTTGCTAGCATTGTTCTTATACTTCTTCTTCAACCTCCTCACTTTTTCAAACAATTAGGTCTTGCTAACATCAATGTGCAACGATTTCTTGATGAAATCATAAAAAACATTCATATCAGTGAATGGATCAGACCATTTTTTGCAATATATTAAATCATACCTTTCAAAATCACA